GCAGGAACGTGAACTAAGGACTTATTCTCAGAAATCTACAGTCGCAGCTGAGGCCATTCCTCTTCAGATTCCAAAAGGCCAACTAATTCCTTTCACTCGTCACTTCAAATGAAATGAAATGTACTTCAACAAACCTATTAAGGGATTCTTCGAAACCCAGTTTTTCTACGTATCTATACATTCGATATCTAAAGAAGGTGAAGTTGAGATTTTAAAATGGCATAGCTTAAGGGAACCAAAATTTGGTTTTACACACCAAGTGGGAGTACATTATGTACCGGCCGAATTTCCTGAGTTACAATGAGTAACTTAAAAGGATCAACCTTCAAACGGATATTTAGGGATTCTAAAGATAGCATAAACTAACTTCAACTAAAAAAATCAAATAAAATTATTTTTTTCTTATGAAATACTCATCAATATAAATAAATTGACCTTCTACAAATAATTGCCCCAAGATGCATGCAGAAGTAAGCCCAACAAATCTAAGACAGTAAATGATGTTGGTTCATTAAGTTTTAAAGAAAAGATTAGTAAATTAGCCTCATTAGAAGCCAAAAAACTGCCACAGAATTGGCACTGTAGATTTGCGCTAATGAGTACTCAGAGACCCGTACGGCAGCCCCAATGTATCCATGTTGGGCGTATCTTGTAATATGAGAGATATAGTAAAGCAGAAAACCATAAAAAGCACAATGACAAGAGGGCCAGTTACAGGCTTACCTACTTCTTACAGATCGTATGCAGCCAATTTACATACTGCTAGCAGTCACTTCACTTTTATGCAAGCATGCAACATAGAAAAGCAAACAAAATCATGAGATATCTGACTAAATTGACAAAATTGGGGTACAATTAAGTCTTCCTGCCAATATGACCAAGTTACGAAAATAAGGTAGAAACAACTTTTACAATTAAGTAGGAATGCAGCTAGCTACATTTCTTGCCTTCATTCCTGGTGAAGTATCGTAAAGTACATGATAATGTGCGTAACATGATAATCTACGTAACATGACAGATGAAAGCTCGGCATAGATTCATCAGGGTCGCAGAAATCTGCGCTAAAGACGTATTCGAACAAATCTACGCTGCCAACTCCAAGGCAATCTTCCCTCTACCTCCGGCAAGACCAAGTAACGAACCGCTTGTCCTCGCCTCTTCAAATCAAATAAAACTTACATCAACATCAAGCTATTATGACATTATTCAAAACCCACTTTTGCTTCATATAAGACTAACTATTTTTAACTAAAACAAAAGGCTCTCTGAAGTAAGACTGACCTGAAATACACAAAAGTACTAAATATGTGAAATAAGGCCATCTTCAAGATGCGATTTTCTTGAGCTGCAACCAAAGCAACTAGTGTTGAGATCCGGATCCAGGCTCAATATTATTCAACTTTTGGCAAGACAATGATGGAGTAGCGAATGACTTCAAGCCTTGTGCTTTATCACTTAGCTGACGAGTAGCAAGCGTATTTTGAAACATGAATCCGAAGGTGGTCGAACTAGAGCTAAGAGTATTTGAAGCGGCACTTGGAGATGAGGAAGATGGCAATGTTGTAATGTTCGATGGCGAAGCATGTACCAAATCACCGGCCAATTTGTCTGTAGTTTGCCGAGTCGGTGCTATAAACGAGCTGGAACATAAGTTGGGATTTTCATGATGAACGAGATCAGAAAGGCTCTCAGCATCAACTGAATCAACAAATGGCTTAGTAGAGTGTCGGTGGCCGAAAGTCGATGATGAAGCAGAAGCGGAAGACGACGAGGACGAAGTAACTGACTCCATAAGGTCAAGTTTTGCAGATGCTGAAAAAACGTCGTCAGATTTTCCAGGGACATGTGATTCACAGTTAAACTCAACGTATTGTAAGCACTCAGGTCCCGAATTTGGAAAAAGACGAGCGAGGGAGATAGCGTTGGGAAGGGAGGTTCGGCTTTCAAGAACGGACTGCACACCAGAAGAAGGCGGAGCGGGAGGCGGCGCAGGTAAATTAGCTTCGTAGGCTGAATTGTCTAAAAATGTGGCAGTGATATAATCCAAGCTAGGTTACAAACGTCACGCAAGCAAAGCAATGCATAATATTAAAATAACATATCTAAAAGGCATCACGAGCGAAACTACTGAATTAAGGGGCAAACATCTTAAAATATGTTTGTTTGATCTATAAACTATATCAATAAGGCCAAAAGGCTACTTGAGATTGAATTTAAAAGGTAAGCAATCTATGAATGATGCATTTGATAAATAAAATGTTTTCCTAATTAAATTCGAGAATCCTGATCCCTCTTGATGGTCAAGGATAGAATTAAGAAGAATTTGAGGTGTTTAGAGTAATTATTTTCATCCGCCGATAGCGTTTTAGAACCCAAAAAATATGCATATGTATGTAGCTCCTAGGCTACAAGTTCGAAAGCATTTACTTTTAATATTTGATTGGAGGTCGCCCGCCAAAAGGTCACCTCGCCAGGCGTCTTGTATTTCAGTCCCAGCGATACAGCCAGGAGTGCATGGGGGAGTTCTTACTGATGTTGCCAACTCGTTTGATACAATGTTAGACCGGTAGCACGGTAGGACCGACGAAGTAATCAAATTAGTGGTGATAGAATCAGAGTGGTTACGCAATATACAGGCGGAACTGCTCGTTGGTGAGCCAAACGTAGAAGTGCTGATCACTGGGTGAAGATGACCAAGCGGGATGGGGCAACTTGGCCGTACAGCTGAAGGTGGATGCTGAGTCTGAAGATTAAATGTTGCCGCTGTACGAGGGCCACATATAGATAAGTTTGTGTCAACGAATTTAGAGGATAGATTATTGCTGCTTGAGTTTGCAGGGCCAACGAAGTCACGGATTTTGCTAGGGACAGAAGCAGAAGGGATGGTAGTAGAGGAAGAAACAGAATTGATTGGAGAAGAAATCATTTTGCGGAAACCAAGCATGTTCGATGGAAAACTGCTTGTTGAAGTCAGGCTGCCGGTGGTGACAGATGGAAAGGTTGTAGTGGAGGCCGAGGAACCCATGGCAACAGATGCAGCCTCAGACGCTGCCTGTAGGTCATGTATACGACGGGCCAGGTCAGGAGGAAGCTTGGAGAGCTCTGTACAGAATAGAAAAATAGTATGATAGTAAAAAAAAGAATAGACTAGAGGATAAAAGACAGACTAAGGAAATTATTTTTATTGAATTAATTGTAAAGGGCCAAGCATAGAAGGAACATTATCCATTTAATGATCCGCTAGGTAATTCTTATGATCATATGGATACGATGTCGGCACTTATTTGGGAGATTTAGCTTTTTCCTAAACTATCACTCAATTTTCAACGAGAAGCTATTACATCTAGATTACTTAAGATGATTTAAAGATCTATATTCGAACGTAGATATGAAGACCAGGATAATGGAGTATTAAAATTTACTTCGAGTTTCACCGGCGCAAAGTAAACGAGTAGACGGAAGGTGCAGAGAAGTAAATTGGCAATATGAAGTGAAGTTGAGGGGTGAGTATATGATGCTAGACGCTAGGATAAGGAAGGGAGATACCACAACAGCTAAACAGAAAAATGGTCAAGAGAATTGTCTTAACTTGTCACTGATAACTCTTACTGATAAAGCAAACAGAAATACCCATGGAACGTTTAGGGAATCACCAAGTCAACAATCATGAATACTATGGTCGAGTACCCAGTACTTGGTAGGTTTGACAGGGTATCACTAATGCCGCAACAAACTTGCAAA